CAGCGCCCCCAGCCGCTCTTGGCGGTGAAAGTGGAGCTCGAGCAGCTCATCGTATCGATTCTCGATGACCCGAGTGTGAGTCGGGTCATGCGCGAGGCTAGTTTCTCTAGCCCCGCCGTCAAATCCGCGATCGAACAGTCTCTGGGTAACTCCAATTCGTCCGGGCCCTTTAACCAGGGACCAATCGGATTCGGATACCGACCCGTATCCGGTCCGATTACCCGGAATCTCTACCTCAACCCCCGGCTACAGCAACCAGGAGTGGCTCAGACAAGGCTGTTGCAGAGTACCGATGAAGTGAAACGGGTCTTGGACATCATGGTTCGGACAAGGAAGAGGAACCCAGTTCTCGTCGGTGAATCGGAGCCGCAAAATTTGGGGAAAGAGATTCTGGGTAAGATCGAGAGTGGGGAAATCTGCGTTGGGTCATTGCGGAATTCTCAGGTGATACATGTCGAAAAGGAGCTGGCTTTGGAGAAGGCGCAAATGGCGACTAGGGTTAAGGAGATCTCCGTGTTGGTGGAGACCCGGATGGGGAATTCTGATCTGGAATGCATCGTTCTCGATCTGGGTGACCTGAAATGGTTGGTGGAGCAGCAGCATCCGCCGGCGATCTCCGGCGGCGGAGCTGTGGCGGAGATGGGGAAGCTTCTGGAGAGATACGGAGGAAGGCTCTGGTTCATTGGCACGGCGACTTGCGAGACTTATCTTCGATGTCAAGTGTATTACCCATCGATGGATAACGATTGGGATCTGCAAGCCATTCCCATCGCCGCCAAATCGCCTATATTCCCGAGGTGGGTTTTTGAATTTGATTGCATCTAATGAAATTCAGACAAAAGTTACATGCCTTTTTATTCATGGGTTTTGGTTCTTGTGCTATCAGACAAAGTCCAATGGAATCGGTATCTCCTGCGAGAAGTTTTCAGATTCCTGCAATAACATTACAGCCGAAAAGTGTATCCGAAAGCTTGGATTCTGTGGAAAGAATGAGATGTTGTCCACAGTGTCTGCAGAATTACAGAACCGAAGTCGGAAAACAAGAAACGGAAAGAACACCGCTTCTGCCGCAGTGGCTACAGAAACCGGTAAGTTCATGGCCGCCGATTTCTTGTCTGAGGAATTTTTCCGCCGTTCCTTGTGGATTAAGAAACTGAAGAATGTGAATTTTGATCGTTTTCTGCAGACCAAGGATCAAGAACTGTCGGAGTTGGGGAAGAAATGGAACGAGACGTGTTTACGGTTACATCCTCGCTATCATCGACAACCGAATATGACGACGACGGCTTCCGAGAAAATCCTTCCTTTGCCTGTCTCTCCGTTGAAGCTTCAGAACCGTGGAAACCCAAGTGAAAACACACTGCAGATGAACTTTAGTACAGACAGAACTCCACCGGAGAGTCCCTTGGGGACAGACCTTGTTCTTGGGCGACCCAATGGAGCTCTGTCCTCTCCTGACAAGACCCGAGAATCGTATACTAATGGTGGTCCGAGAAAAGATTCTGAAATGCAAGAAGACTCGTCCGATATCGACTCATTCAAGAAGCTACTAAAGGGCTTAGCAGAAACAGTCTGGTGGCAACACGATGCAGCCTCTGCAGTGGCTGGGACCATATCTCGACACAATCACGGAGACAGGAAACCTCGTGGCGTTTGGTCGAAGCGTAATGATATCTGGTTGTTGTTCACTGGTCCGGACAGAGTCGGTAAGAACAAGATGGTGTCTAGGTTGTCGGATCTTATCTCGGGATCTCAGCCGATAACTATCAGTCTCGGTGTAAGGAGAGGTGACGAGGCTACCGGGCTGAGTTTCCGTGGTAAAACAACATTAGATAGAATCACAGATACCGTTAGGAAAAACCCTTCTGCTGTTATCGTCATAGAAGACATGGATGAGGCAGATGCGATTCTCCGAGGCAACATAAAGCGAGCTATGGAAAGAGGAAGAATCTCTGATTCTTACGGTCGTGAGATTAGTCTAGGGAATGTCGTAGTCATCCTTACCACAAATTGGTCGCCCGAAAGCTTATCCGAAAGGTTTGATCCGATCGACGAAACAAAACTCGAGGGATTGGTAAGCAAAGGATGGCAACTGAGATTCTCGGTTAGTAGCAAAACCCTAAAACGCAGACCGAGCTGGCTTTACAACAATGACGATGATAACCACGAAAAGCCGTGCAGGCCAAGGAAAGAGATCTCTTTCGATCTGAACGAAGCAGCAGAGATCGATGAAGAGAAAGTGGGAAACGGGTCATCGACGAATTCTAGCGACGTAACTACCGATCACGATCAAGAAGATAACTTCGGCCTCTTCCACAAGCTATCCCTGCCTCCACATTCTGGTTTGAGCATATTCGGCGAGCTAGGAGCTCTCGTGGACGATGCCATATTCTTCAGACCAGTGGATTTCGACATTATCAAGCGGAAAACTGCAGAATCCTTGAAGAACCGGTTCTCGGGAATTCTCGGGGAGAACCAATCAAAGCTGGAAATCGAGGAGACTGCGCTCGAGAGAATCTCGGGTGCGATATGGATCGGCGAGATTAGCTTAGAAGAATGGATCGAAGAGGCGATGGTTCCGAGCTTGAATCGGATGAAATCTCGGGTTTCGAGTAGCGAAGAATCTGTCTTTAAGCTCGAACTCGACGACGGATTAAGCGATCGAGTCACCGGAGATTATCTACCGAGAAGTATCAGAACGTTGCTGGATTGATTTTGCGACGAGGGGCAGAATCGGGATTGTCGAGGTTTTGGGAGGATAGAAATGTAAATACGTGATGAAGTGGGGTTTTTTGGCGCGGGGAGTTCGGTAAACAGTAAAAACGGACAAACAAAAGGAAAAAGTGAAAGAAAAAACGGTTACCGACAAAGAGGCGTAGATTAACGGTTACCTTTTCAGATCAACGGCTGAGATTTGAGAATATCTCAATCCTTCTTTTTTGCTATTTTCTACTCTTTCGATAGTCTATAATATTTCATTATTAAATTGTATTATACGTATGTCTAAAATCGCATAGCATCATATACAAGTTATTTACTATAAATAAATAAATAATAATAAGAGCTAGTTTTGAGGATATGTGTAGTTTCAGTTTTTTATTAATTGTTTATATGTATTTCAGCACTGCGAGCTGTCTTATATATTCAAATAAATAGAAAACCTATTCCACATAATATAAAAAGCAGTTTTTTATTTTAAATATCCCAGTGATTGGAGTTTTTGGACTGATTTGTACTCAAAATGAGATTCATTATTATAATTTTTTTTACATATATTATAATCCTCTCGATTATATAAATATATCCTTCGATCATTAGACAGAGCATCAAAAGAATCGTGACATTGTTTACGAGGAGAAAAATAATGCCATGGTCATACTAATATTATAAAATTTAAATTTGGTAATATGGTTAAAAATATCTTTGTTATCCTTTATTTTTTTTCCAACTTGAGATGCTGCATTATTCTAACAAAACTATTTTTAGATTTGACATTAATATATATATCAGATAGAGATACAAATGTTTGTATATATATATTAGGTTTTCACACACACACACACACACATATATATATATAGTCTATATATGTCAGAGTCACAGAATATACTTCAATACAAGAAAGCTTCACCAATTTTACCAAAGATAAGATGCAGCAAAAAGGAGGAAACTAAGGAATAAAATATGAAAAAAAAAAGTAAAAAGAATTTAAAAAAAAAAAGTTTTGGTGGTGCGGAATGTGTGATGCAAGCAAGCCACACATATATTATTCCTTGTTTTTTTTTTCCTTTTGGGTGCTTATGAATAAAATTAAATTAAAGTAATCTCTTACCGAACCCAAGTTTTAAATAAATATATCGCAATATTCTTCGTGACATTTTAGAAAGTTTGTACTTTGAATATAGATGGGTGTGTGGTGGGTCTGGATAGTTTGTGGATGTCTTTATCCGACCTCAAAGCAGAACCCCCAACCACTCCCGTGGACCGAATTTAATAATTTAATTCAATCCTCCAAAAAAAAAAACCCCATATGTAAACTCATCTTTTATTCTTGCCTTTTTTTCATGAGAAAAATAATAATATTTACTCGTCAAATCGTTTTTTTTTGTTAGGTTTTACGTGTAGTTATAGAAATTATTAGTCCGTGTTTTTTGTCAAGATTTACAGAATAGTATTTTATTCATAACCAAATGACGTATCAATATATAAAGTGTCAAACTAAATAATTAAATTAAAGATAACATCAAATATTTATAAAATTTTCTAAATATCTATTTAATATTTTACAAGATCTGATATAAATCAACATTTTTATTGTGACATGCATATTAAATTAAAATTTACGTTCATTAATTATATACAAGCTAACTTAAATAACTAAGAATAATCATAGTAATATTAAAATTTAGAATCGGTGATTCCTAATCTGATTAACCTAAGCAAACTAAGTAGATTACGTCATTAAATAGTTCAACGAGGGCTTCGTCAGTTGTCAAAACGCGACGTGAGACTTTGTGAGCTTTTCGATTTCAATCAAGAAGATTGGTTTGGTAGAAAACGTGTTCTAACGAGGGGTCGGGCCGAACACGGTGACGGTCCTTTTCATCTTGATTCGGACCGTTGAGTCAAACCCTAACACGCGTGCAGTAGTCATGCCACTTCCGATATACGTTCAAACTAAATTATATGTATGAATTCATACACAACGAATATATGTGGTTTATTACAACCTTTTTCCATTTAATTGTGATTATATATATATATATATATATGACAATATATGACATTCAATTGTTTTGTTAGAAAATACAACACGACATATCTTTCTAGATCTATAGCCTAATGTCAACACGCATGCATGTATGCGTGATTCATAAATATACCCTTAAAGACAGCTTCTATATATTGTTTTCTCAAAAAGAAATTAAAAAAAAATACTTTTTTTTTCATTTTTTTTTATCAAATAAATATTAAACCATGACATACGATTGAAACAAACATTGACTTGCAATTTTTTGTGTTCAATAAAAATATTCAATTTGTTAGCTGTATCCAATCAAATACAGGGTTTATGTTTTGAATATTAAAATATAAAATAATTATTTAATTGAATATCTAAAAATAATAATATTTAATTGGACACCAAGAAACTAGTTCATTATCCGTTTGACCATCTTGTCGGGTAATTTAGTGTTTATTTAAATATTAAAATATAAGAAGCAACAATTTTGGAATATTTTTACTTTGCTAATACACAATTCATATTAATAATTTAGGAATTGGAGGTGAGGGAAAAGATATCGGATCAAATTACTTGAATAATTATAGACATTTTTTAAGTAAAGGTATGAGAAGAATTTCAGCCAAGGAGAAGGAATAAACAAGGATAAGACAAACCAAAACATGCCTTTATTCATTTAATTATTTATTTAGTGGCTCCTCGATTTGCATTGCTCTTGTGGCTCCATTCTCACCTGATTCCTCACTATCTATTTTATATTAAATTCCTACTGTTTATTTATTCTTTTAGTTTTTATATATAATATTCATTTTCCTATTAAATAAGTGGGGGAATGATTGCGTGAGGTTAGACGGTCCATAATTCGGTTTAGTAATGAAAAGTCCAATAAAATAATACTTATTTATATTAATTAAGTTTTATTTCAAAATTAATTTAATATAATTTCTAAAATAAAATTTCGAAAAAATCAAATATACATCTCCACATAATA